AGTATATAGTGTTCATTTTTGTCTTTCTTTATTTTTGTTGATTTAAATCCAATGTTATCTACTTTCTTCTTTTTTTTTTAATTTTCTCTATACATGTACATGTGTTTATTTGGATTCCACTTTTGCCTTCACAAAAAAATTTTTTTTTGCAGATTTTGCCCCAGGCCAGGTTTGAACCCACCACCTCTGGCATATGGGGCTGGCGCCCTACTCCTTTGAGCCACTAGGCACCACCCCATGCCTTCACAAAATTAAAAAGGCTTAACATTTAATAACAATAACACTGTTTAAGATAAGGACTAAAAACAAAAACCTCATAAAAAAACGAACAAAGATAAATACATTCAGAAAAGATATCAGATGATTGCTGCAATGCAATATTGAGCAATAATAATAATAATGCAAAAAAAGTAACACATTGTCAGATAAAAGTATGTCTATCATAGAATGCTTTGACTCTGAGGTTCAGTATGACATCATCAGTTAACTTCTTTTTTTCCCCAAAGTCTCAAAAAATAGAGAATATTTATAAATAAAAATAAAAGATAACTTCAAAAAACAGATCATGCCAAATCTTATTAGACAATAGAAAAAGAAGAAATACTTCAAAATCTTTCTACTTCATCTGCATATCTGATTTCCATTTGCCTGAAATATTGTTTTAGATCCCTTCACCCTGAGTCTTGTTTTATGCTTAGCAGAGGTTCTCAACCTGTGGGTCGTGACCCCTTTTTAACAATGAAAATACATTGCAGCATTAGGAAGGCTGAGAACCACTGGCTTAGAGGTTAGATGTTTTTCTTGAAGACAGCTTATAGTTGGCTTATGCCTTTTTATCCAGTCAGCTAGACTGTGCCTTGTCAGTGGGGAATTCAAGCCATTCACATTTACTGAGAGAATTTATAAATATAGTTGAGTTCTATCCATCTTGCTTTGTGGAGGTCCACAGCTTAGTTTTATCCCTTGTGCCACTGTGGAAGCTAGGCTTTGTCCTTTAGTTTCTTTGTTGGTGGTGTATTGTGATGGTCAGGATGAAGAATGGTTTTGAGTACTTTCTGCAGAGCTGCTCTGGTTGTGGCAAATTTTTTCAATGTTGGCATGTCAGTAAAATATTTGATCTCTCTGTTAAATATAAAACTTTAGCAGGTTATAAAATCCTGAGATGAAAATTATTTTGTTTAAGAAGGTTAAAGACAGATCACCCTCTTCTGGCTTGAAAACTTTCAGCTGAAAAGTCTGCTGTCACCCTGTTTTTTTTCCCTTTGTATGTAGGAACTTGCTTACATCTAGCTGCTTAAAAAATTTTTCCTTTCATTTTGACTTTGGCCACATTAATCACAATGTGCCTAGATGATGTTTTGTTTGAATTGAGTCATGCTGGGGTTCTAAAACTCTCTAGTGTCTGGATTTCTGGGTCTTTTGCAATGCTTGGGAAATTCTCCACCATGATATCTTGAAGTAAAGTTTCTATACTTTTAGCACCCTCTTCCTCTCCTGGAATCCCCATAGTTTGTGTTTGTTTGTTTGTTTGTTTGTAGACCAAGTCTCACAACCTTGAACTCTTGGGTTCAGGTGATCCCCTTGCTTTAGCCTCCTGAGTAGCTGGGACTACAGGCGCCTGCCATTAACACCCAGCTACTTTGTCTATTTTCAGTAGAGATGTGGTCTCACTCTTGCTCAGGCTGGTCTCAAACTCCTGAGTTCAGGCAGTCCACCTGCCTCAACCTCCCAGAGTGCTAGGATTACAGATGTGAGCCATTGCACCCAGCTAGGAATCCTTATAATTTGAATATTATATCTTTTAGACTAATCCCATAATTTTCTTATGGAAAGCTCTGCTTTTATTCTCTTTTTTTCTGTCTCTGAATGACTAGGTTAGTTCAAAAGTTTTGTCTTCAGTTTCTGAGATTCTTTCTACTCCATGTTCTTCTCTATTGCTGAGATTCTCTCCTGCGTTTTGAATCTTCTTAATGCCTCTTTCAATTCCTTAGGGTCTGCTATATCCTTCCTAATTATGTCTAGAACTTTGGTAACTTTGTCTTCAATTTCTCTAGACAGTTTTGGACTTCCTTTGGGATTTTTTTCCCATCTTCTCTTAATTCCATTCATTTTATTTGCCTTCCATATTGTGACTTCTATTTCTGTCATTTCAACAATTTCGCTATGTGTGGTGTTTACTGCTGTATAGCTCTTGTAATTTCTTGGGAAAGTTGATCTACTCTGATTTTTCATGTTGCCAGTGTTCTTCGGCTGGTTCTTCCCATGTGTATTTTCAGTTATTTATATATTTATTATACTTTTTAACCTGGAATGTTAGATTGCCCCTAAATAGTTATTAAGAGATATTCTAACTGGGGACCCTTAGGCAGAACCACAGAGGCTATATGGAAATTAAAACTCATGGGCTGAAGTCAGATCTGGAGGACCCCATATATGGAGCTCACCACCTCTTCACCACTGACTGTTTAAATGGACTGCAGCTTATACCTGTGTCCCTTCTGCATACAGCCTCCTGAAGCTCCCTTTTGGGGGTGCAGCATGAGAATCGCTGAAGGCAAGCCTTGCTTTCTTCAAGTTGGGGTGGTAGCACTGATGGGTGGACTTCCAGGTGACACTCCTAGGCTAAGTGTGTCACCTGGTTATTGGGAACTATTTCTGTCCTGGTATCAGCCTGCCCTCCAACCAGTTTACAGGAGCTACAGTTTTTCACTGAAGTCCCTGCTGTAATAGGTTTGAACTTCTGTGCCCCATCCCTACTCCCAGCAGCTGAGGATGGGCAATCCCTGGCTGTCCAACTGCTCCCACCCAAATTCCCATCCCATGGCATGAATGCCCCTTATGCAAACAAATTCCAGATGCCATGGTTTTCACTGGAGTCCTGGCCACAATGGATTAGACACACTGCAATCCTCATCCACCATCTGCTTCCAGGAATTTCCCAGGGCAAGGTCACCTGAGGCTAGGCATATCTCTCTGCAAGTTAGCAGGAGTGGGGAGGCAAGACTACCAGGCATAGATGCTTGGTAGGGGCACTCCAGAGGGCGGGGAAAATGTCCCCTCCCTGCTAGCAGGAGGGAGATGCAGGAGGGACCCCCAACTTACTAGTCCCTGTAGCTGAGTCATAATTTCTTCTCACAGTGGGAGGCAGGGCACACTCAATGCACAAGACCACACAATGCAGAAGTCCCTCAGAGATCCTGCCAGACATGCTGGGGAAGGCAGGGCCTATCTGCCTCTTCTCTCATGGCCAGATAAGCATCTGACCTAGAATGATGAGACAGAAAGAAGCCTCAGTAACCCTTGCTTCCATTGTTGGGAGTTCCTTTGCCTTTCTGATACCTGGTGGGGAGCCACGGCCATGCTGCCTTGGCCGGCAGAGCTAGCAGTAAGCCTTGCCCAAGCACTGGGAAGCTGACCTCTGCAGGGGGCAATCTGTTGGGTAACCAAAAGGGGAATGGTCTTTAGGCATAAAGTGGTGGTGACAAAATTGGTTCACTTTTCTCCCAGGCACAAAGGGAACCCAGAGGTGGAAACTCTCAGATGCAGGAAAACTAGGACTTCATGGCTCTCTCCCACGTCTGAGAGATCATGTGTGTGCTGATCGTGAGAGCCCACAGAAATCCCTCTAGGTGTTGGGGGGTGTCCCCTTTACCCTTCTGTTTGGTACCAAGCTCCATCAGTCTAGTAACTCCATACCCATTCTCTGTTCTCTTCCTTCCTCTTTCTCATCATTGTCCTTGCAGTTTGTCTCAGTGAGGATGTTGAGCTTCTTGATTTCTTCTCCTTGTTTTCAACCTCCTAATTTCAACTACTAGTAGTTCACTTCAGTCCAATTTTTCTCATTCTGGAAGGAGCTTCTGGCAAAAGCTGCTGCTAGTTGGCCATCTTGCCCCCTCCTCCTGTGATATTAGTTTTTAAATGAACGACATCAGGAGAAATAAAAGATTGCTAATGAGACATATCGTACGTAAGAAAGGATTTGCCAGTATTTTCACATCTTAGGAGAAAGGGAAGGGCAAAAACATGAGGGTGTCCTGTCGCGACCCATCGGGCCCCTAAGGCCCTGGTCTCAAGCACCACAGGAAGGAACCAGGCATGATGAAGATTAGAAGTACAAGCTTGTGGGAGGTGGGCTAGCCCTTACTTGCAGGGTACCCTTGAGCAACCTCTGCACTAGCCTTTTATTGAGACAGAATAATACAGGTGAGGGGAGTAATTAACAATGATTGCGTGCTGAAGGCATGGGCTCTTTCTCCATAAGGAGCTCCTGCAGACGAATGGAGAGGGTCCACCCCTCAGTTGCAGATCATCTTGCTCAGATGTCATCTGGCTATTGGCGTCCCCTATAGTGTCCTTCCATGGTGTTTTCCCCATGGATTAAAAAGTGAGGATCTCTTCTGAGAATAATGGCCAGGAAGAGATTCAAGATACAATTTCTGCTGGGTTAACTTTGACCACTGAAGTAAGCCATTTGTAAGATGGTCTTTCACAAATCCCACATTCTGAAATGCAAGATCCTTAGTTGGTTAATAAGTTAAAAAATGCAGTTTAAGTATGAATAGGAGACATTATTTGGGACAAGTTTTAAAAACCTTAAGAAATAAACTTTTAAAGAATGTATTCATACCTATATTTAAGACAGATTAACATATGTTTGATATTAATTTTAATAATACAATAGATATACACTTAATGCTTGCAAAATTCAAACATAGAAGAAAATGACCTAATGGGACAAGGTATGTTATTCAGGTGATGGGTACAACAAAAGGAAAGACTTTACACTGTGCACTATGGCCATGTAACAAAACTGCATTTGTACTCCCTAAATCTACAAAACTATGAAATGAAAAACTTGTTTAATGAAAAAATAAAACTAGTAGTAACAAATCTTATATGTTATATTATTTGGTATTGCTAGATACATGGCATGTGTACAAAGAATTTGATCCTGCTTATAATAAACACTTCATAATAAACTGTTTTAATTAATCCATCAGGTCCCCAAATGGTAGAAGCCCAGAGTCAACTGTTTCAGATCAACTCCAAAGATGGAAAGCCACTATTTACTGTTGATGAAAAGGAAGTTATGGTTGGCACAGATAAACTTCGAGTAACTGGTATGTGGTAATTTTTGACAAAAACAATATCCCACAGAGTACACTTCTACAAAAGAAAATGTATTTTTGGCAAATTTACCTTGAAATTTTTCAGGCAGATAAGAGATGGGAGTTTGCATTTGTTTGCTTTCAAGGTGTCATTTCTATTGCAATTCTTTGATACTCTCCTAGAAGAATGAAATCCTCCTCACAAATCTTTACCCTCTCTTCTCTTCTGCCATCTTATTACTTTGTTTCTTTCCACGTCAGTAACTTGAAGGCTTGCCATATTTCTTTATCATCTATACAGTTCAAGTGTCTATTTTTAAAATTCCTTTTATGCCTATTATATCAAGTACATGGATTCCCTACATTTCTACAAAAAAACTTTTCTTGAACTAAAGATTGAATAGGGTTAAAAATAGATTCATTTTGAAAAAATCAGGGCAAGATGATAGACTAGAGACATTGATCACCAGATTGTCTCAGAAAAAAGGAAAGCTCTAGTTGGAAAAGAACATAAGTCAGGTGAAATTCTGAGGGAAACGTGCCAGAATCTACTGAAGAGTCCATGGAAATATGTTGAGGAGTACAACGAGAAAAAAGCAAGATTTCACTAGAAAAGAATCCTGAGAGGCTTGGAGCATGGCAGACAAGGCTGCCACCAGCATCTAAAGGGCTCCAGACTGCAGGGAAAATGCAGTGCCAACTGAGCCACAGCAGAGCCACGGGAGGCCGCCTGTGCCTAAGCTCCATTCCCAGCCCTGTGGCCCAAACAGGCTCTGCCTTCACTCACCTTTAACTGACAGGTCCAAGACACACTGACGCCTCTGGCTGGGAAGGCAGCTGACACCAAGCAAATTGTGAGCACACCTTCATTGGTGCAAGTTTCCCCCACAGAGTCTGGCCACCATTGCTGGAAGAGTGTACCCTGAAGCCACTACAGAAGGATACATCAAAAGAAGCTTGGTGCTCATGAGCTCAGAGAGACAGATAGCTGAAAGATAGTGGTTTCAGGTTTACCCCCCCAAAATAATAATAAGTTAAAAAAGTAAAGAGGTGGGCAGCACCTGTGGCTCAAAGGAGTAGGGCGCCGGCTCCATATACCAGAGGTGGTGGGTTCAAACCTGGCCCTGGCCAAAAACTGCAAAAAAAAAAAAAGTACAGAGGAAGATGGTGGGCTAGAGGCAGCTGTCAGCATGCCACTTTCAAGGAAAGGATTGTAAATTGGAGGCAGATGCCTACCTACAGATAACTCTTCTTGAAATGAAGAAGCCATTGTTGATTTAATGTCAATTTTGTCTGACATGTGAATAAATAAATAAATGCTGGTGTGGATGCAGAAAGAGAGAGGAACACTTATACACTATTGGTGGGACTGCAGATTAGTACAAACTTTATGGAAAACTGTATGGATATTTTCAAAGAACTAAAAGTAGACCTACCATTTGATGCAGCAATCCCACTACTAGCCATTTACCCAAAGGAAAAGAAGTCATTTTATCAAAAAGACACCTGTACCTGAATGTTTACTGCAGCACAATACACAATTGCAAAGAGGTGGAATCAACCCAAGTGCCAATCAATTCATGAGTGGATTAACAAAATGTGGTATATGTATAACATGGAGTACTATTCAGCCATAAAAAGGGGATAAATTAATTCCTTTTGCAGCAATTTGTTAAGAGCTGGAGACTGCAATCTTAATTATCTCAAGAATGGAAAAACAAGCACCACGTGGACCCTCTAATAAACTAGAACTGATCAATGGGTACATGTGTGCACAAAGAAAAGTTATTGGAAATCAAGCCAGGAGGAAGGGAGAAGCAAGTGCCAAAAATCTACCTAAGGTATGCAATGAACACAGTGCGTGTCATGAGCACACCTGTAGCCCTGACTCAAGCCATGTAACAAAAAACGTTTTACCCCTTAACATTTTGAAGAAAGAGAAGTAAGAAAACCTAGGTTTATCACAAGAGACTTTTTTCAAATAAAAGGGCTATTCAGTCTAAGAATATTCCTTTTATATCATTTTGGTCCTAAAATTGCAAATCATGTTTATGTGAACTAACATCTGAGTTTTCCATTAGTAAATTAGGTGACTATAAATGGTTACAATATTAAAAGTAAATTTAAAATGGTGAATGAAAAAATATATACTCATTTTTGGGAATGAGAAGAAAAAAATTATTAAAAAATATTTTCAGAGCATATTCTCCATTTATTTGGTAAGCATCTTGCAGACTAAAAGACATAAACAATCAGACACTTGTAAATCTATTCCAGTTTATTTCTGTACTGTTTGAAAATGAATAGCAACATTATTATTTCATACAATATTACCAGTACTTCCAATTTTTTTTTTAAAGTGGTTTTTTTTTTTTAAAGAAGTAGACTGAACCCTAACACAAAGTTTTGTGTAATAGATAGTTCTAACAAAACAAACTATAAAAACAACAGCCTAATGTTATGGCATACTGTAAGGTCTCTGGTTTTCTTCCTAAAATCAAGGACACTAGGGAATTTAATCAAAGTGAATTGATCATTGCCTAATAAAACACCTCGGACATCAGAAACCCACTGTTGCATAGAAAAGAGAACATGGTCTTTGGAGATCTGGGTTCTATTCCTGCTCACAAGTACTATCAAGGCAAGTTATTAACTCTCTTTTGGCTGTTCCCTCACTTTTAAAACTGGATTGATACTGTATCTATTGTAGTATTGATGCTGGATTAAGTAGATTAATGTGTGCAAAGGACAGCAGAGTTCTTGGTGAGTATTATTTCATTGCAAGAGAATAAAATATGTATTTTATTATATTTGTAGTCTAAGCAGCAGCTTAGGTAGCTTCAAACCCAAGCCATCCTACACAAAAACCAATAAAATGAGCCTTCCCAGCCCAGGCTCCTTCCAGACCATGACATCAATTAGTGGAACAGGTGAGAAAAAATGATCAGCAACTATGCTACTATTAATTAGCTGCATGCATGCATCAGAATCATGCAGGGGTTTATTTATAAATATATTGCTGGGCTTCATCCCTAGAGTTTCTGATTCAGTAAGTCAGAAGAAGACTTAAGAGTCTGCATTTGTAATGAGTTCCCAGGTGAGACTGATGCTGCAGCTCTGTGGCCCACACTTAGAGAATCACCACCCTACACTTATTTGGATGGAGTCAGCAGGAGAAAACACAAGTCACCACATACACATGCTCTCTCTAGCACACACATTCAAGTTATTTTTAAAGATAAGTCATAATCTTCTCTTTCATTATTTGTTTTTTCTGAGGGACACATTTCTCCCAAACTCCTCTTTCTTTCCACTGAAAGCTAAGCAGAGCAAATATACCAGACCTCTCATGATGCACACTTCCCTCGTTATCACGCCATTCCAGTAGTTCGCAGTTCTTGTGACAGGGAGACCATAGGTGATGAGTGTATTACCAGTACACTCAAAGTAGAAATAGTGTTAAAGGTAAGAAAGCCTGAGCTAGACATTACACAGACAACATCAGACCTTGGATAGAGAGACAAAATGAGAAAAGAAAAGTTGGAATTGTGGAATTTCTTGGTTTTTTAAATCATAAAATTTAGGAAACAAAAATATTAGAAAACTGAGAAGAGTTAAGGTCAGGGACTATGAGTTAAAGGAAAGAATGGAAGCAGCAAGACTAGTTAGGAGGATATTAATTACAAGCCATGAAGGAGACCTGAGTTAAGTGGCAGCAATTGTCATAGAGGAAAGTGAATTATTCCAGTTTAGGGTCTTATAGAGAGTTGGCCATGGAACAAATGGGTGGCAGGCATTTAGGGGAGAGACTCAAAGATGATATTGTTTGGGATTATGGCACTACCTCCGGGTGATGAAGAGGCCTGAAGAGAAGGAGAATACACTTTCAGGGCAGAGAATCAGCAGTTAATGTTTCAGACACATAATCTGAAGATACCTGTGAAACAGCCAAATGCGTGTGTCATGTCAGCTGTTTGGTAAGTGAACTCTCTATTGCTCAGAACAGAAGTCTAGGCTGGAGATATAAATGTGGGCATCACCAACCAGCTGGGCTCTGGAAAATGCCTATGTTAGAGGCCAAATAAAGAAAGAAGAGCCACCAAAGGAAACTGACAGAAATGGATGCTGTGGGAGAAGCATCGCCATAGGCATTTTTCTGGTGTCAAGAGAGACCATGTTCCCAGAACTTGGGCCCAGGAAAGATGACAGAAATTGTCAGTAGATTTATCATCACATAGGTCATTGCTATCTTACGTACAACACTTTTTGTTAGAGTACTAAAGGCAAAAGGAAGTTTGAAGTGGTTGCAGAGGGAACAGGATGGGAAGTATCAGAGACAGTATGTGTGACTATTATGTGAAAGTTTGTCAGTGATGTGGAGCAATGAAATTTTTTTGCATCACTTGAAAAGCTCTTATGAGTCCACAAATGTTCAAGGAATGTGTAGGGCGAATCTCAGTAAATAGTGTAGATACAAAAATCTAACAAATTTCCAAGAATATACTACCCATTGTTTGAACATAAGTATTAATATTGAATTCTATGAGTGCTGACAATTAAGTTTCTGAACTCATCCTAGTAAAAAGCCTACATACCTCATTGCTGACTATCACTATGCTCACCATGCCTACCTTTGACCACCCATCAAAGCAATTTTGGAACCATTTTCTGGAATGGCCATCAGAGCTGTCATCATATTACCCTTGATGTCATGAATGTAATCAAAATGTCTTCCTTTCAATATTTCCTTTATCTTAAGGTAAATAAAAAAATCATTGAGGGCCAGATCAGGTGAGTTTGGAGGTGTTCTAATACAGTTTTTTGTTTATTGACTGAAAACTCCCTCTCAGATGGTGCTGTGTAAGCTGGTGCATTGTCATGATGCAAGAGCCACACCTTTTTCATGCCAAGACATTCAGTTAAGATTTTCCTCTTTCTTTTTGAGTGCTTGGGAGCATTCAAAAGCTTTGTTTTCAAAGTCAGAAATCCTTTCTTCAGCCAAGAACACAGTA